TTTTTATCAGACATCTAATTTTTTAGGTTTTATTCACCTGACATGTCAGGTGAATAAAACCTAAAAAATTAGATGTCTGATAAAAAAGAAAAAAGAGCATTGTTATAGCAACTAGATTTGTTTATAATTTTTCATAGTTTGTGCTCCAGTAGTAACTGAGCTATTAATAAGTATTTGCAATCCATTAAGTGAATCGTTAAATTGAAATTCAGAAATGTCACAGAAACAGCACACAACAAGGGACAGAAACATTAACAGACATAATTTGTATAACTACAGCAATTCAGTAATTTTTCTTCTTTCTTAAATATTTTTGATTGTTTTCTATGTTTTAAATATAGAACATAAGAACATAAGAAATTTACAAACAAGAGGAGGCCATTCGGCCCATGTTCTAAGGAATGCAAGTAATTCATATTTAATTTTCTGTCAATCATCTAATTTAAGTTTGTCTGCAGCATGAAGGTACAATCAATGTGGATGTCAGTTCATTCACAAGTGTAAACAAAAGTTGCAGTTGTTTTTAATTCATGCCATGCAAATCAATGAGTATCACTCTAGAATGTATAGAATATTGTATCTAATTGGGCACGAGGTCAAAAACACACAAATTTGGCAATTAAAATAATCTAAACGGATTAATGAAAAAAATAGGGCAAATTGATATTTTTTCATTAAAGATGACACCTACCCCATGAACTAACACAAGAAAATCAAACACAGAATGTTTTGGGGACAAGATTAATGCTAAGGTTATCTGAGCAAGGCTAGATTCTGGATAACCATGGAGACAATTCTATATTTCAAAATATAGCTCTATTTACCATTGATGGAAACTAAGCCAAAAATAAAGAAGAAAAACTACCTGATTTAAAACAGACTACTTGACGCTTCATCCAAGAATTTCTGTAACTCCTGCTCGTATTTACAGGGTAGGAACTACATTACACATATCATACAACAAATGGTCATAAAAACGCAGGTGCACCCAGTCGGGATGTTCATTTCCAAAGTCTGAATCGCAAATCACGATCAATGGCTAATTGATTTTCGACTAAGAGGCAGAATTGTACACAGGCAACAAAAGTAATACACAGAATATCCCTGCAGACCACAACTAGGAGACGAGACTTCGGATTCCTTTAAGGGCATGATGGTGTAAGCAGGTTGGCTGGTGTTACTGCACAGGTGAAAACAATCAGGTGGCTGAAAAAGTGAAGGGCGATTCCGTCTCTGAGGAACCAAAGTTTGTGGGGGCGTGACAACATGAGACTGACTTGCATTCACCCATCCTGTCCATAGAAAGTATCCATTACAGGATCACAGTCGAATTGCATTTAATATGAATAAAAATGTGGGTTTGATCCAGAAGAGAATATGGATAAATCTTACCTGGTATATAAAACCCTTGTCTAAAATGAAGATATTCTGAATACGAATGTTGAATTAGACTACGATGGCAATATGCGTACAGTACAGTATATCAGTAAACTTAGCCCAATACCACCAGGTCGGCCTAATCTGTCAATAGAGGAAGAGGAACCAATAGAAAACTTGCCTGCAAGTCATCCCCTGGTAATTACACTAGCTGGGCATTCAGTAAAACAGGAAAGCTCCATAAGTGACCTGGTCACCAACCTCTTGGAAGATGTAGAAGTTGGTGACAACAAAAAAGTAGGAAAAATGAAATAAAACAATGTTGTTAGTCAGAAACTTCATATATTGTGAATGCAGTTTTTGATATAATACAAGTGTTTGGGTTGTCATGATAACACCTAAACAAATATGACATCACCGAAAAACCCAGAATGTCCCCTTAACTGTATAACATGATTGAATAGATCCTATATACTCTGGCTGAGGTCCACTAGAGAGGACAAAAAAGAACGTCAAGACATTTAATTAAGATTCAGTTTAAGACTCTGGGAAATAGTTTTAATATATGTATATATTTAGTTATATTAAAAAATGTTCATTAAATATTTTAAGAGTTTATATATATATTTTTTTTATTAGAGTTTGAGTCTATTAATCAAGAATTATAAAAAATACTTTGCAAATTCTACATAGAATAATGTTGCTTTCAGTAATGTTTGTTCTCGAAAAGGCTTTCTCAATCGTATTTCCATTCCTGGTTTATGGGCCACACTGTGGTTTCGTACAGTTCCCAGTGAGCAGGGTGTCTGAGTTTAAGAGAGTTCTTTGCCATTTTTTAGAGCACCAGAGATTCACAGAAAGGTGAGGATTAGAAACTAGAGAGACTTAGAGGGGAACACAGTATTTTAATGAAAATTTCACAACAGTGGAATGCTGTTTTAAAAAACATAAAACGGAAGTATGAAGATTTTAACACAGATTTGCTAGACTCATACATTCTACTTGTCATAAAATCCCAAAACAAAAGTCTCTTTTGATGATGACAGAGGTTCTTTTTTTTCATACAGCAAAATGGCCTCCTCTTCATTCAAGAAAAATGGCATACAGTATTGTTTTTACATGTACAAATTTTGCACTGGATTTAAAAGTTTTTCTTAGGAATGTTTTGGTTCTGCCTTTTCTATATTTATAATATCACAGTGTAGATTTGGTAGTAATTACAATGAATTATAATTGCTGTTATTTAAGGACCAAGAGTTTGAAAACTTCAGAGGAAGAAGGAAATAAAATTTTCACTGTACTCACTGAATTTTACTAGATTAATTACCAATTAATTCATAATAAAACCCCTTCATCTCAGAGAGTGTACAAATGATAAAATACTTGAATGTAATATTTGAATTACAAAATTAAACATTTGTATCAATGTAAGTGGACCTAAAACAACAGAAATAACCCATCTGTCAAAATTCAATAGTTTTAATCTAAAAGCACCAAAAGACACCAGTAAATGAAGATCTCAGTAAATAAAAACTAAAACCAATAAAATCTGAAATGCTACAGGTGGTAAGCACCTCATTCTTGTAAACTAAGAAGACTGACAAAATCTAACAGCCCTTCCACACCGCCGAATGCTAACTGCTCATTACAGACAGCCGCTAATATTAGTGATAACCGTGGTCGAAAAAAATGAATAGCACCACCGATTCCTATTCTTAAAATGTGCTGAAAGAGCATCTTTACCAAAAGCATGGCTAATGGACACAACTGGCAGAGCACCAATAAATAAATTACAAGGATTAAATAAGCCGGCGGCTCCTGCTTGTACCTTTTTGTTTTTTTTTTAAGTGCACTTGATATAAATAAAGGAGGAAGCATCCATGGTCGCTACGGGCGGCGTCAGCTTTTCTGCTGCATCCTCTGTGCGTAAAAGTCCCTGCATGTCTCACAGCACCGCTGGTACCAGCGCATGTCCCGGCACAGGTTCTTCTCCCGGATCACCCTGCAGTACACTGGCCACTGGTCCCCCAAGCACTTGAACGTCAGGGCGGCTGAAGGACGGGGAGAGCACGGTAAGTCACCCCATGGATGTGGGGGAGTGAGACTCAGCGCATCGGAAACACACTCTCTGGCGCCCCCTGTTCTCCCTTCGAGGTCATGCGCAAATGCCCTAAGGAGAGCAAGTATTTTTAGCTGAGAAATTAGGCTAAAATATCTTCAAAACCAGCAATACTCAACGAAATACGGTAATGTAATATGCCAGTACACAGCGCATTCAAAATTGCTCATACTGTACGCACTTTTTCTGAACACTAACCATGGGATTAAAACAGTTCCTGCAAAGTTTTTTTCTCTAAGTGATGCTTTCGTAAGCATTACTTTCTGTTATCAGAGGCAGAACTTAAAATACAATCTGAGTAACATATTATTATTAAATTGATAAGATTGCACATGCATCGACCTTTTCGTTTTAATCGTATTTATTGGATATTGTTACCAAACACCAAAACAGGAAGAAAGTAGGTAAGGACGTCTCTGAATAGGCTGCCTTTGCGAAAATAGAAATAAAACCAGGGCAATAACTGCCTTGTAGGCAACAGCGGAACCATGAATAGCAGCCTTACACATGAAAGGACTGCCTGTCGAGGGCTTGGAATCAAACATGAAAGACAGACATCGTCACTCTAGAAGAGAACAGTAACGACAAGCTACAAGTTTCTGGGAAATTAGGTACACGACCACTCTTTCTGACAGTCACTGATTGTCATACGACTTGGGAAACAATTAGCCAGCTGAATAACAACCAGGCACACGCTGACATGATTCTCAGAGACTGCTGTGATATGATTTGTCTAAGACAAAATCCAGTAAAATGAAAAAATATCCCCAATTCTGGCAACGTTTCTGCACCCTCCGGCATGAGGGCCGTGGTTGAGTCCCACTTACCACAGTCTTTTAAGGTTTATTTAGAGCATCACTGGACACAAACTGCAGTTTTCCAATTATTAATAAACATGTTTTTTTTTCTGAACATTCGTGTATGCATTTTCGTGCAACATATAAAACTACTTATTGTACATTTCATAAATTAGACAAACCATATGCAGGTACAAATAACCGAAGCATTAAACGTTAAACTGTTTTTTCACTCATAATTTTTCTTTTAAAATAGAATTACACTCCTTGGTGTTTATGGGTGTAAATAAAAACATTAAAGTAACGAAAACCGATTTGTGTATTTACCGAGTGACGTATGGTAAATAAAGTATCATTATTAATTAAATAAACCGTGCATGAGCCCTGATATTTTCACCTATAGGTGGCGATGTTGTATAAAACTGCTTTGTTAACGTAACAAAACCCTGTAACTGCTGCATTTTAATTAATATTACGAGAAGCCACCTGTAAATCTGTGAAACTTCTGTTTTCGAAATGAAACTAAGCGGATCGTAATTAGAGTATAACAACCACAATTTGCCAACTTTTATTGCTGTCGACTCGAGGGAGTCGGCACTGCATTTCGTAGCTTAATCCCCAAATCACGCAAAAATGACCAACAAAGATTATGAAAAGAGCTATATAAAGAGTTAGTTAAATGGGAAGTTGAGGCGCTTATTAAAATGCAGTAAAACTGGGAGACGGAAAAAGAAAAAAAGCGAAATCGCTGAATGCACTTTAGGATGCAGCGCCAAACGCATCCATGCCTCTGCAAAGCAAATAAAACAAACCGTTTTGTTAAAAGCCAAATTAAAAAGCGCTGCCGGGAAAAAACACTTTAGGAAAATTTTAAAAGCACGGTCGATAAATATAAAAGCATTTTCAGAAAATTAAAAAAATAGGCCTACCGCCGAATGTGTGTTATAATGAAAACGGTTTGGTGGGTTATAATACAGATACGTCTGACTTAATCTGAAACAGATTTGAAATTGCATCTTATAATAATAATATAATTATTAGGGGCGAATTGTAGCCGCCTCCTACGTGTCACCCAGCAGCTGCTTTTAGATTAAATCGTGTAAAAACCTTGACTATAAACAATATCACCTTACAGACGGTTTCCCTCTTAATTTTAAAATATATAGATTTTCTTTCCCTGAAGAAATAACATTTTTAGCCATTCTGTGTAGGTTTTAAAATAAGAATGTAAACAACTGAAGCGGGGCGTACAGTCCATTTTACTGGTAAAACCAGGTTTTGAAACTCTTGAAAGAGTTACCTGAAAGATACTTTAAATATTGCACAATACTATAAATGTAAAGAATATGATGAGAACAAAATACATTCAAACCTAGTAGGTGTATAGAAAGGTAAAGGAAAATACAAACACAATTATAACTGTATCCTAGTTGATCCTGCACATCGTTTTTTAAACTTAAGCTAACTTTTAAGTCGTATAAATCCCATTAAAACCATACATTTTTGCCAGAAAATTTAATATTTCAACCATGAATAGGTTTTCATGACTTTCCAGCAATATACCCTTAGGCCAACCCTAGGTATGAAACTTCTAACATAGACCTTAAACAGTCTGTTATACTTTGAGTTGTTACTTTTCTACACAATGTGGTTTTTATTTTCTTCTATGAACTGACTTTCTACAGTATGACAGCATCTAAATCAATATCAATCTTGTTTAAATGCTTAAATGTGTTTTCAGCTCGTCTATCCCTCTGTTGGGTTGCAAAAGCCCTTTGTTAATCATTAAGACAATAAAACATAAATGCATGTAGTGGATGCTCATCTCGATGTCTTATCAAGTGAGTCCACTGCGACAATGATGTCACCCCTTGGCGATGACATCAGGACTTGTTTGTGTCCCTGTGCTGGCAGACAAATCCTCCAGCCCGTTAAGTTGTGCTGGTTACAAGTGGGTTCAGTCACGGGTCAGTGTCACATCTGTTAAACTGGTGCTGTGACTCATGGGTTAAAACATGTGAGGAGATCACTAATCATGACTGGGTCTACTGTAGCAATCATGGCACCTCATCTTAGACTTCAGCTGGTTCACCAAACCAAGATGATGTGATGTATGGCTCAGGTAGGAAGGTCGCGGGTTCAAATCCCAGGGTTGGTAGAGTGATTTCACTGTTGACCCCTTGAGCAAAACCCTTAACTTCCAGTTCCTCCAGGGACTGTCTGACCCAATTCTCTCAAAAAAATGTATGTTACTTTGGATAATAGCATCTACCAAATAAAGTATAATATCAATTTAATGAATTGCGGGTCTTTTTTTCTTTGCTGACTAATTTTCATGGCCAATAACTTTTGCTGGTTTGCTGGTCAATAAAACACTTGTTGCTCACACTTTTGGCTCAAACATCTCAATAAGGCTCAATGCTGATACATTAATTTACCAATAATAAACTAAACACGACGGCCACAAAAGCTTGGGCGTCGAGACAGAGGACGGGACACTTGCCAAGCCGCGGCGAGGTGATAGTATTGACGTTGACCCGCTCGTTGCATGGCTGCTGCTGGCACGGCCGGTAGGCCGCTGGCTTCTCAGACGAAAAGCACTCACGGCTGTGCCGCCCCGTGATCTTGTGCATGCACTGGATCACCCTCGACTGCATTCCTTTGCCGCACGTCACGGAGCACTGCATGGGAGGGACAGCACAGGCTGGGTCAATGGAGGACAAACAGGGTACTGTCACTGTACGGAGGCCCAAAAGGACCATCCTGCAGAGGGTCTGCTCCAGTATTAGAGAAAGTCCATCAGAAAAACAGAGTCAATTAGAAATAATACTCTTTCAGAAGTATGGGGCGACATACAAACAGGAAGTGACAGGGGGAGAGTTTTCACAATATGTTGTAGAAACAAATAACAAATAGAACAAAAGTACAAAACACAGAACAGTGTGCAATAGGCTCATGGGGGTTTTACTTACACATTGATTGATCATCTCTCTGGACCAATCATTTTTCATTCTGCCCTCAGAACATTTTTGCGTAAGTAAAACTCCCACGACCGTGAAACTCAGGGGTGGACACAAGTCATGTTACATTAGTTCATTAAAAAAAAAAATCTCTTCACAGTAAAAGTAGCCATTTTTTCCACAATTGTTCATTGCCATAAAGCTTAACAGGCTTGAGGTGCACCTGCACAAAATGTGAAAATATGACATAGCCAGGCATGTGTGTGATATTCATGTTACCTCAGCATGTTACGGGTGGGAAGCTGAACTTTCTAGACCAGCAGTTCTCAAGTCCTTTAGCCTGAGGACCTACATTTTTCCTTGGTCATTAAGTCATGACCCAAATTTTTTAAATTTTGAACCAAATTTATTTTGCAAAAATGCTGCAGTAATAGTAAATCACACCTAAATCAACATAAAAATGTTTTTTTAAAAATAATTTCAAATTAATTCTATGCAACAATTCAGTTTTGGAATTTTTTTAACCACATTCTCCATGACCCAATAAAAATAGTCCCAGGACCCACTGCCAACTGTCAATCCTCTAGATTTCTCTTCAACAGTCAGTTATTAATCAGTTATTTAAGTTTTTGCCGCCACTGTTAAGCATGGTTAGCCACCTCTAGACTCCTCTCTGACAGATATGCTGATTCTGAGGTAAAATAAAAACATGATGCGGGGAGGGGGGGGCACCACACCTTGGCCCAGTCGCCCGTCCTCCAGACGTAGCACCTAGAGTAGTCCTCACAGTCCTCCACCTCGCGCGGGACCGTCGACAGGTCACACTTCTTCCGCGGGTTGGTGCACTTCACGGGTCGGTACCGGATCCCCCGACCACACTTCACAGAGCACTGGAGCACAGAACACAGAGTCCCTGGGGGCGCTTCTCGCCTAGGCCTGTCCCGTCCACAGAGCCCCTCCCACCCGCTTCTGCCCCTGCATGTCGCGGCCCCCGAGGGCGGCTTCAAAGCCAGAGCGATGCCCCTCCTGATGCTCTCCCAGCTAAGCCTCCCTCTGCCAGCAGCTGTTTCATGTTAAGTCCTCACAGCCACTTCCCCAGGTGAATTACAGCCCTGCTCATAACTGGCTTTTAAGGTGCCCTTAAATCACAGCTTGGGAAGGGGGATTGTATACAGTATATGTATATATATAGGGAGAGAGAGAATCAGAAGGTCAGCATGGATTTCATTACTGCGCACCACAGCAAGCAGACGAGGCCGATTCCTCCCTCACAATGCGACGTCTGATAGGATTGAGTTTTGGACGTCTTCACTCGCTCCCCACCAGGAAAGAACTCACATTCACCGCATAGCCTGAGCACTGAAGTCACACTGTGCTGATGTAATAATCAAAAATTCAGCTGCTATGATTCTTAAATAAGCACATTTGCTCAGATGAGCAAATATGCTGCTATTCAAAAAAACAAAGAACAGATTTTCCACATTTCAGTTTTTTTCTTACATTCTGTTATTATCTTATTGTTATTTATCTTTTATTTATCTTTATATGCGTGACGTTTATGATGGAGCTCTCAGGGAAACTCATTTGATTGCCTGCATCTACAGCTGTATGCTGTAATGTTGTGCATTTGGGAAATAAACAGCTAATATAAAGCTAAAAAAAAAGTAGCGTTTAAATAAACCAGGTTTTTATAACTTCAGGTAAGAGCCTTAGGGAAAGGGGGTGTGCCCTCGCTGGATGACTGACAGGTGGGCGTCAGGGTGTCGATACTCATGGCCACAGGTGCCTGACAACAGTCCCTTAGCAACAGTGAGTCATGTGACAGCGGGCCTACCTCAGACCACATGCCGGCCTCCCACACGGTGAGGCAGTCCTGGCCCTCGCAGCGCTGCGTGTGCGCAGGCTTGGGGCCTGCGCAGTCGCGATCCTTCGCCTTCACCAGGGAGCCGTTGCGCAGCTGCAGGGTACACGCCACCTGTCTGCTCTGGGAGCCCCTTCCACACGTCCGCGAGCATGACGTCCATTCCGTCATCATCCACCTAGAGTGTCAGAGGACATGAAACCCAGAGCAACTGCAAAACATACTTCAACTAAAATGATGAAATTACACTTTTATTTGCCCTTTGCAGAAGTACAAGTAGGAGTACCGGTTCATTGCATATCCCATCTTGCCTGAGACATACACACACATATGTACAGCTGTGAGCAACGTTTGGGGTCTAAGCACAGGGTCAAGCCATTTATTCAGCTCCCTGGGGCATTTTAGAAGGTTCTGAGCCTTGCTAGAAAATATTGAACTAAAATTCAATTTTTATTTTGTATAGTGCGTTCTCACAACATTATGTCGTCTCAAAGTGCTTTACAGCATCCCTGCCCAAAGCCCACAGTGAACAAGCCAGAGACGACAGTGGCAAGGAAAAACTCCCTAGAAGGAAGAAACTTTGGGTGGAACCAGACTCAGTGGGGGAGCCCATCCTCCAGGGACCGGCAGGGGAAGGAAAATGGGCAAGATGGCAAAGTCCCAGTTCACACTGTCCCAATCTTAACATTTGAGTCTCAAAGCTGGGGGGCGGGCAAGTGATGGCAGGCAGTTGCTGGTGCTGCTTCTGCTGGCAGGATGGACAGTGGTACGGCTCAGGGCAAACAGGGGAGAGATCACAGGCAGAAGGGCAAGCAGGCCGGAAAGACGCCGCAGAAGTGGTCATGTGTCTCTTTTTTGCTTCCTGTGTTCCAGTCAGTAACTTTCGCCTTGGGGTGCATCCTCCATTGGTATAACTCAGGGGTGGGCAATCTTGTCCGAAAAGGGCCGGTGTGTATGCAGGTTTTGGCTGCAACTCCCTAATTAGAGTACTAATTAGAGGACTGATTGGCTGAAGAGTCCTCACGCCTGGGTTTGAACAGCTGACCTACAGGTTATCCCAAAAACCTGCATACACACCGGCCCTTTGCGGATAAGATTGCCCATCCCTCGTATAACTCATGCATTATGGTCAGCGAGGTCATGCAGCAGGGGCAGATTGTCCTATTTACTAGTATACAATTGTACACTTCATCCAGACTCCTTCATCCAGAGTGACCTGCGTTCTTTTGAGGCAGCAGGGGCAGCCAATCCCTGGAACGATCCGGATTAGGAGCCACTGGCCGAAAAGCGAAATCAGTCTGCCGACCCTGTGGGCTTTAAACCCGTGACCTTGAGGTGACCGGCGCAGTGTCATAATCCGCTGAGGCGCACCCCCCCCACTCCACGTGATGGCATCGCAGGAATTAATCTCTAATTATTTAATCTATAATAAATTAATCTCTATCTAATTTGCCGCTCACTTGCCAGAAGGATGCCAGTGCCATCAGATGCCAGTGCCCAGGCCTGCGGCCCAGGTCTGCATGACGGATCATCTGGGAGACAGATGTGAGGGCAGAAACACTACAGGGATCAGGAGAGAGAGCGGAGGGGGATTGGTTGGTGTCACTTTCAACCTTCGGAGACGGATCTTCGGGGAGATCAGTGGGATGAGAGGCTGTGAGGGCCAGTTGGCAGAAGCTCAGCCAGACTGCAGCATGACGTGATCTTACCCCTATCAGTGTCTCCTACTCAGACAGAAGATTGCAGTGTCTGCACTTCGTTATCGCGTCATTCAATTTGCGGGATTGTACTCTATTACCACCGAACCATATTCCGCATTTGTTTCTCCGGATGACATGATGTATCGCAGATACAAATGTGAGATTAAAGATGAACTGTTTATTCGTCAGGGTTATGCCGTGTGAGAGGAAATACGGCTGTACTGGGCAAAGTTTCTCTCTTCCGAAAGCTGTCTTAAGCCAAAAAAACAACCGTTTGCCAAACTTACAATTTCATAGTAATGGCTGTGGTCAAACTTCACATAAAGTCCAGCGTTTAAAAAAATATATATTAGTTGGACCATATGATAAAAAATGACTCATTATAAAGTAATTCTGTCATAGCAATTAGAACGCCTGCTGTGAATGAGATATTACAACATTTTTTCCCTCAAAATATCAGCCAAACACATTGAGACCCATGAGATTTTTTTGAGAAAACATTTCAGTATCTCAAGGAGATGATTTAGCGTTTCTCTACCAACAGCTAAAGAAAACAATGCTGATTATATCATTTACAGGCAAAAATCATTCTAACAATGTGGTGGTAAAGCATGATAATCTGTCATATTGTAGCAGGAAGGAATTCTTCATTCCGTGCGTTACGCCAACTGTAAAGTATTCTATAGTGCCAACACGCATAGCCTAAGAAAACCTATTCCATTTTCAGTTTACTGCCAGTTCTAGTGTGATATGTTAAAAAACACACACACACACGAGTAGTCCTGAATTTATGACAGGAGCGCATGCCAAATTACAATTTCTCCAAGAAAATGCATAATTTTTCGATTAAGACGGTCAAATACGTGTTGCAAGAAAAACGAAATAACTCTTTACAGTAATCCATCAGGGGTGATTTCATGGATGTACTTCTGCAAGCATTTGAGACAAATTTCATTCAGAATTTAGATTTACAAGTGTGCCGAGATGGAGAGAAACCAGAAAACATCACGGTCCCTAGAGCACTAAAAGTCAATATGGACTCATGTTTAACTTAAAAAATGTCCAAAACACTTGTCTAATCTCATTACAATCCCCTTATTCCTGAATTGTATAAAAACATTGTATTACAAATGACTATGCATTAATTTTATGGCTGATCTCGATGATGTTACAGAGTCACAGAACTGCATCTTTGTTGTAGGGTTTTCACATTTCAGATCAATGATATTTATGGTCACCTGACATTCAATCCCCTTTAATCACGCGACTACACAAGGCTCCCCAGGTGCAATTTGTCTTGTGGTTTTCTCAAGAACATCACAACTGCGTTCTTTCTTTGAAAAGACTGCATGTTTTTCAACACAACACAGCACTTTGGCTTAATTATGCTTTTTTTCTCCATCAAAGGGATAAGGAACACTGCTATCTTTGTGTCGACACCAAGACTCTGGCAATGAAACTGGCCATCAGCAGGTGTGCTGAGAGATGTCGCAAAGTGAGATGTTTTTATGCTGAGGGCTCTATAGACAATAGTCACCAAAAGGACTGCAAGACAACAGTGAGTGTCCCAGAATCCTCATCTACACCCTCACAATACTCTTCTCTTGTGTGACATTACCAAAGATGGCCCACTGCAGGAGTATTGCCCTGAAAAAAATCACCGATGGCTGCCCTGGTACTGATGGGTCATTGGGTAGCTTCTGCTCCAATGAGATCTCCCCTACAGCGTCATGTGATAACGTCACTGTGAATGAGCCTGTCAGAAGCTGTGCATTCAGGCAAGCATGACGACAGCTAAGCGTAACGAAGATCTGAAAATGACTAAAGCAGAGAGAAAACTCTTGGCTGCGATTATACTTGGTGAAAGCGTAGGCCCCCATACCTCGTCTGGCAGGGCTGCTCGTTGCACTTGCGGACCTGTGGCTCTGGTCTAGTCAGGTGACGACACTTCCTGTTGTCCACCAGGCTTGTTGTCTTGTTGACGATCTTGGTGCAGGTGACTGTGGATCTCCTTTCCCCTGGAAACATCAGAAATATCACATGACGCAAACTTCGGCAGAATAACCGTGGAAGTTTGAAGGGGATCCAGTCTAAACACTTTTGAAACTGGAAATGTAAATGTTTCAAAAAACTCCATTTTGATGGTTTATTTGACTGTCTGAAATTGACCCAATTGGCTTCAGTGAAAATCTTATTGGGCTGTTTATATGACATATGATACTAATATTTATGGTGTTTTTCTTTATCAGAAAATAACTTTTTATTTTAATTTAAATCCCTGTTTGACAAGTCATCACACTAATGCAGAATAAACCAGGCAATATAACAGTGCTGTAAGAAGTCATACATCAGAGCATGACATCAGAATCAGCAGCGGCAGAGATGTAACTTGTTCCTGGATAAACCAACATATATGGCAAAAACAAGGAGACAAAGGCCACTTTATAGAAAAAATGACCCGGAAGCAGCATATACAGACTCTGGCGAATCAGTAATAGTTTAGCTTTAGTGCTAGTCTTGGCGAAAATGCAGCCTCCTTGTGGAAGATACCATTTGAAACTCTATGGGGGGGCATTGAGGATAAACTAGCGATAAATTCGTGATCACTCTGTGATTAATGGAGAAACCACCAGTGAGCAGGATTACTGTATGCTGTTAATCGCTTCTTGGTTTAACTCAATAAGAATCCAATAAAACAACCAATGGGATTTGGCTCAAAGCACATCTTCCACTCCCCCGCTCAACTGAGTCCTGTAATATCTGAAATACCAGTTTCTTCTGCTCTTTCATATTTCATGGCCTCATAATGAATAAATATTTGTGGTTTCCCTAATGATACCTTTCAAATTGTGGTCTATCATGTACTTTCAGGAAACCCAATAAAAAGGTAAGGATTCAGGTGTTTGCGGTTGCTGTATAAATAGGACGAATGAATAACATGTTAAAAATATATATTTTCAAGTGTTTCCTCTTTACAGAGAGTACTTGAAACATGTCTTCTGAACAGGAAATGACAAGTTCCAGCTGAAGCAATCCTGGTACCTCCTCCGCAGACGGCATGGCAGTCCTCCCAGCCTGAGTGGGTCCACATGAAGATGGGCTCGCTGGCCTTGCTGGCCAGGCCTTTCTGGGACTCCGGGGGCTGCTCCATGGGTATGGTGTACTCATAATGGATTCCATAGCTCTGGTTCGTTAAGAGCAGCACCTGCCGTGACATCATACACCTTGAGGCGCTCAACCAAAGTCTCTGAAACTCATACGGTGATGTTGTAGGAGCATTTTCAACAGGACAGAATCCCTCCTGCTACTTCAGATAAGGAGGTCAGTTACTTAACCCAGTCTTTCTCAAACCGGTCCTCAGGGACGTCCAGACTGTCTGGCAGGGAGCTGGGAGGGAGCAAAAACGTGGACTGCCTGGGGGTCCCCCGAGGACAGAGTTGAGAAACACCGACTTAACCTATTATCTGCTAGTATTGCCCTAGGATGATACCAGCAGGCTTTCCACAAACATGAGGAGTATCAGGGAATTCCTCAAAACCGACTCGCTGAATCTACTGTCCGTAGTTTCACCACATGCTGTTTTTTTCATGTACTCCAGCAACGTATCTTTATCATTTACAGCTTATCATTTACCCGGACTAGGATAAGTGGTTAGAAGATATATGGATGGATTTACTGTTAAGCTGTAAGATTTACACTCTTAAATAGGAAGACGAAAATACATACGACTCCTGTCTTCTGAACGTTATAAAAATGCAAAGCTCTGTTCAAACGACATTTCGTTCTGCTCAGTCATATTTTAAATCACTCGCCAAACACAATCCCCCAACATTTATCTCCTCTCCACAGACTCCACCAGAGTCCTGCTCTGCAGCCTAGTGCACAGACCTCCAACACTTTAATCTAATTAGAGGCGTTAGTGAATCCCAAAGGCTTGTCAGGAGGTAATCCCGTTAAAGTGATAACCTGGTAATCTCACACATGACAGGGCTGCGAGTGGAAAAGGTCAGGTATTGATTTGATTCATCCCTGCTTCCATTCCTATAGCACACTGATCACTAATAGTGATTTAACTTTATTATGACACAGTATGTCCTGAGGTGGCACTACATCTACTATATGTGATTGGAAAAAAATATGAAAAAAATCAAGATGGACAGAGGAAAAAGTGTGAAATACCAAAACAAGGCAAACACAAAGAATCCAAAGTGAAAAGGGACACAAATATCCAATTATTTTTTCAAAGTCTACGATGGTGTTCGCGCGTTTTTATAAGAAGTCAAACAAGAATAACAGCAGCTAATTAATGCAAAAACGCACGTCTGAAGAGCAAGTCATGTGATTATAGTGCAAACAGCATGCAGATGGGGGCCAGAGGTTCAGTTACCGTGCAGATAGACGACTAAGGGGTTTGTTTGAAGTGAGTTCATTAAATGAGGTATGATTGCTGGTGCCAGACATGATGGATCCAGAATCTCAGAAACAGCCTCCCTCCTGTGATTTTCATGCACTACAATTTACAGTTTACAGAGAATGGTGCTATGAACAGAACACATCCAGTCAATGGCGTTTCTGTGGCCAAAAACACCCTGTTAATGAGAGAGATTGGACGAGAATGGCCAGGTATGTTAAAGCTAACTAAACTAACAGCTCAGTACTGCAATGGAGGGCAGAGAATCTGTGAGTGGCCATCTATTGTGGTATCATTATCAGTGAGTTACATAGTGAATCAGCGAGTAATAATTTATTGCAATGTCACCATGAGTGAGTTATGTCATAATGAGTGAATGACCACAATAGCAGTAGTTGTAATGCAACATTGAATTATTAATGTCAGAATGGCAGGAGATTTATGGTGTCACAGTAAGTGAACTAGTAATAGATTAAGACTGTGATTCTGTCGCAATTCTGGCACAGAGAATAACATATTCCAAGTGATGAAACCACGGTTTTGTGCATAATAGCTAGCCACAAAGTTTGGTATCCAATCTCCATGTTTTTTCAAATTCAGATTCAGTCCCGATAAGTGTAAAGGGTGATCTAAGGGTAAAACACAGGCATGTTCTTACCATGAGATGCAGAGGGGATGTGGTTGGACCTTTGGCTGACATCTTCTCCCATAATCCCCTTCTGACATAGTGGACTGTCGTGCCAGCAATGTTGAAAGAGCCTGGGTGCTCGATTTTCCAGTCGCTGTTTATGGAATGCTTGCTGGTGTCCTTAAGTGCTGCAAAGCATGCAAGTCATTCACAGTTACTAAACCATGTCCACTGTGAACACACTCTAATTGAACATACAGATGGACAGATCATGTGTAAATTAATTATAGCTAATGTAAGATCTTTTGTTATCAAAGTACAAAGGGGGACACAGCAGCAAGCTTCAGATGACAGCTGAGAGTTGATGTTTTAAGAGGTGACTGTCCTATGGAGCCAGAATTACTGCTTGAAATGAATCTTTTCAGGAGTATGTACAGGGGCGGGGTCGGAGGGGCACTGGCCCCAGCTGAAAGCTGATAGGCCTGCAACGTTCCCCTTCCCTGTCACTCACTGATTTGAAATACATCATTGGCTAATCATAAGGCTGGCGTCTTCTGCACCCCACCTTAAAAAGTCCTAGAAGTGCCCCTGTATCCCATATAACAAAATTGACTCAAATGGAGGGAGTGTTATCCACTTTCATACAGTGTTTTAATTTTATGAAAATCATACATATATATTACATTTTATTGTTTTGCTGTATGAACAAGTGTAGTATACACCTCTTTTACCCATTTGCTCCCCCCCGCCAACCTGAGGCCACCTAGGACGCGAGCAGCCTGGGACACCGGGGGGGGGGAGGGGGGGGGGGGCTGCACCCCACTGAATGATGGGAGCGATTCCGTGCGGTTTGGCTTCGCTCGCCGGGGGAGCTGTCCCCCTAGTAGCTGTCAGCTGATACGTATTACAGCTCCTTCGACTCAATCACTCCCACATGAGAAATGGGGGTGGGGGGGGGTGAGCACACATACGGAGGGATGAGAGTTTCTCTGCGTTTTGAGAACATTATGTGTACAAGTCGGTACAAGTCTGTGTAAAAAAGTACCCTATCGTAACAGAACAACAACAATAATAATTATTATAATAATAATAATAATAATTTTGGTCTTGTGGAGATCTGGTACGCAGACTCTGTGATCAAAAGTGTTGTAAAGGCAGTTCTCAACTGACGTAAGTAATCTGTTCTGCAAACCCTTGCGTAAGTCTAATGTTATGTAAGTCAGACACCTTATGGCAAAAAACACATAAGCAAGAAATACACTAGTAATACGTACAAAAGAAAACATATTAAATAAATGGAAAGATGAAGTGAAAATTCCGTAAACTCTGTGTATCTCAGATATTTTTTGCGTAAGTCTGCGTTTAATTAAGTCAGTTTTATGTGTGTTGAATGCTGCCTGTATATATGCGTCTGGTGTGACTGTGATCAAGGTACTTCACTGTAACTGTACCCCAGGACTGTCTGGTGCTGTGGCATGGAAGCGTATGAACACATTTCACAATGATGACAGAAGTGAATTAAGTTTAACATTGAGGCAAAGAAATAATAGGGAATGTGGATCAGAAGAGGTTAGGAGGATGTGCAAATCCCTACCAAGGTAGCTCTGCGCCGGCTTCCCCTCCACCACCCTAATCCTCCTCGCTCCGGTGGGAATGACCACAGCCTCCACATAGCCTGAGGGACAGACAATAGACAGAGATGATTGGGGGGGGGAGTGTCGCCCCCTCCTGGTGGAAGTGAGACAAACATACTTCCCAGCACCGAGGTCCCCAATCTCTCACTCATGAATGAGTGGCTCCATGAGTCTTTGTCAGACATTAACTATTAATGGAAAGACAATCATAAAGTTGATCAGGATATGATACGGGGGGGGGGGATTTGTCATTTTTGTTCATTTGACCAAAATGAGTGGTTGGAAGATGGTGGGAAAATTAATAAATTGAATGTATAAGTAGATAAGATGGACAGGCAATGTGTTCATTTCCTACATCCATCTCCTAACCACGTACCCTGGTGAGGCTCCCTGGAAGAGCTGGAGCCCAACCCAGCCAGCTGCATCCCTCTGCAGTTTTTAAGAACAATGTATTTACCTTCCTTGTGCCTTCTTATAAAGGCAAAATAACACCATTATTAGGTCATGCAACGACCACTGGCACAACATCTATCCATACATCCACTCACGCAGGGCTCACCACCACCATTCACTCACTCAGGGCTCACCAACACCATTCACTCACACAGGGCTCACCACCACCATTCACTCACACAGGGCTCACCAACACCATTCACTGACACAGGGCTCACCAACACCATTCACTCACACAGGGCACACCAACACCATTCACTCACACAGGGCTCACCAACACCATTCACTGAGACAGGGCTCACCAACACCATTCACTCACACAGGGCTCACCAGCACCATTCACTCACACAGGGCTCACCAACACCATTCACTCACACAGGGCTCACCACCACCATTCACTCACTCAGGGCTCACCAGCACCATTCACTCACACAGGGCTCACCAACACCATTCACTCACGCAGGGCACACCA